CATGCATGGCACAGTCCCCGTTAGTATCAAATTTAAGATGTATAGTTTATTTATAGTAATATAGCTGGAATATAACCATGTCAGGAATATGATTTTTTAACATTAAAATGATTGACATTTGTATCTGATCGTCAAACAAGTACTTGTCCATATTGAGAGATATTGCTCTGGAACAGCATTCAAAATAAGCCATTTTGAATACATGTATATATATAACATGATGTATAACGAATATATAAAATTTGAATATATAATCAGTCAAAGCATTCAAGGTAGAGATGCAGTTTACCTGACAGGTATTTTAATTCGTTAATTAGGAAACCAAGATGACCTCCCTTGTCCACAAAACTATATATTTTCGGAAAGCTTACTGTATGAATTTTAAAATTGTGTTAGTATTTTTTTTTAAGGACACTGTAGTTTGACATATGCACAAAAATGTTCTTTTTTGGTCAAAAGTGATTAAAAAAAAAATAGCTTCTAAACCATGCTTCTGTTTCCTGTCAAAATTGGTTTACGGGTACATCTATTTACTATGAAGAAAGCGCCGTCTTGAAAACTGTCTACCAGTTGTCAATTTTGCAGGGCAGCAACAAAATGGCCACCAGTCGGCTATTTTGAATCTTATCTGAAAAACAAAATTATTTGCATCAAGGTCCCATAATGTCTAATGTATATACCAAGTTTGAACAAAATCCATCTGTAAACAGCAGAGAAATGCTTGATTTTTAGGATTTTTTAGCACAAAAATGGTTGCCATTCGGCCATCTTGAATCAGATCGTGAAACAAAATGATGTGCATCAAGGTCCTATAATGTCCAACGTATATACAAGGTTTGAACAAAATCCATCTGTAAACAGCTGAAAAATGTTTGATTTTGATGATTTTGAGCACAAAAATGGCCGCCATTCGGCCATCTTGAATCAGATCGTGAAACAAATTGACGTGCATATGTATAATATCATGTATGATGTATGTGTGAAGTTTGATTGTGATTGGTCCAGGCATTTCTAAGATACAGGTCCGGACGCATGCACACACACACGCACACACAGAGGTCAAAACATAAGTCCCCGTTTTTGGACTGCGTCTGAACGAGGACTAAAAAGACCTTTGATGAGTAGAACTAGCTATTGTAACTATTGTTACGATATACATTCTGAGTATACAGTTGTATCAGTTTTAATATTATCACTGGCAAACATACATTTTGCAGTATTGTTCAAATTGAAATTAGTTATGTTATTATAATAGAATATTTGAGTTTTCTTTCTGGGATTATGTTCATCTTTCGTGTGTAGATGTTGTGTTAAGCCATTTCTGTATGGGCTGAACATTCTAGAGATTATTAAATCTTAAATTTATGTATATACAAGAGATGAAACTCAGAACTGCACTACATTTGCATTGGCAGATTCAAAATTTAAGATCATTAAACTTTGAACTTTGACCTTTCAAAGGCAACATTTCTTATCTTCTACAAAATAATTCTTTTTAAACATATTGACCAATACTTGGAGTCAATAGGAAATCATGTTTATATAGTTAACATTAATGATATGATTAGAAGAAAAAAAAGAAAAAAAAAGTGGAAAAATTCTATTTTGCTGGTGGAAAGAAAAACACAATTACCTTTAACAAAGCCTTTATCAATAAACTAACAAGCTGTGATTCTATTTTATTTATTAAACTGGTATGACGCTTCTCATGAGGTGCAGGAATCTGAAAACGAAACAAAGAAATGTTACGCAACCAAAGTGATAGTAATGTCAATTCTTCATTGACATGAATATTGATAAATTCAAACTTTAACATGTAGAACATATCACATAGGACACACAGAACAACACATGCAAACAGTCCATTGTTTTCTATACTCTGTTGAAACATTGATCTCCTAAAATGACATCCAAGATGACCCCCCCCCCTAAGAATCTGAAAACTCGTATAACAAACAAATCTACAAAAATGTTGTAATTTGTGGATATTTGCAAGAACCTTTGAGCTGCATCTTGCAAAAGCTGTTTATGTCAAATGTAAAACACAATACAGCAATAAGACCTCAGATTACCAGCGTGTGACAGGAAATTAAATTACTTTTTATGACAAACCTTGTCTGTGTTTAAAAAGTTAACTGGTCCTTGAGTTGCGATGATTTCAGCCAACCATGAGTGTGACCAACCTCTGTTTTCAAGCATCTGTGCAAACCAACAGGGAACAAAAATACAATAATAATTATGTATGACAAACATAGTGGGCACTCTTAGACAAAAAATCAAGAACTTATTCAAATCTATTATTCATATGAATAAAAAAAATGGAGATTGTATTCATATGCAGATTGTAAACATCAACACTTGTATTCATAGCAGATTGTAAACATCAACACTTGTATTCATATGTAGATTGTAAACATCTACACTTGTATTCATATGTAGATTGTAAACATCTACACTTGTATTCATATGCAGATTGTAAACATTCACCCTTGTATTCATATGCAGATTGTAAACATCCACACTTGTATTCATATGCAGATTGTAAACATCTACACTTGTACTCATAGCAGATTGTAAACATCTACATTGTATTCATATGTAGATTGTAAACATCTACACTTGTATTCATATGCAGATTGTAAACATTCACCCTTGTATTCATATGCAGATTGTAAACATCCACACTTGTATTCATATGCAGATTGTAAACATCTACACTTGTATTCATATGCAGATTGTAAACATCAACACTTGTATTCATACGCAGATTGTAAACATCAACACTTGTATTCATATGCAGATTATAGACATTCACACTTGTATTTATTTATTTATATGTATATATTAAACATTCACACTTGTATTCATATGCAGATTGGAAACATTCACACTTGTGTCCATATGCAGATTGTAAACATTCACACTTGTATCATATGCAGATTGTAAACATCCACACTTGTATTCATATGCAGATTGTAAACATCCACTCTTGTATTCATATGTATATATTAAACATTCACACTTGTATTCATATGCAGATTGGAAACATTCACACTTGTGTCCATATGCAGATTGTAAACATTCACACCTGTATTCATATGCAGATTGTAAACATCCACACTTGTATTCATATGTAGATTGTCAACATCCACACTTGTATTCATATGTAGAGTGTAAACATCCACACTTGTATTCATATGTAGATTGTCAACATCCACACTTGTATTCATATGTAGAGTGTAAACATCCACACTTGTATTCATATGTAGATTGTCAACATCCACACTTGTATTCATATGTAGATTGTAAACATCCACACTTGTATTCATATGTAGATTGTCAACATCCACACTTGTATTCAAATAAAAAAAAAATTAACATAAGCAGATTACATGACTCACCTGTACAAACACTGCCTTGTCTGGCAATACGAGTTTACCATCAGCAATAGTATCGTTACCACATTGCAGTTTACCATCATACACCAGTTTATTACTTATACTCATAATTTCTTCATTCATTCTATACTGTAGACATAGTTCTGTTTTACAATTCTCATGAATTGACAGTCTTTGAAATAAACTTTCATCCATACCAAGTTCCCTAAAAACAAATACAATGTAATTACAGCATGCCAACAAAACATGCAGCAGTGTTGCTGAATATGTTGTGATGCCACTGTCAACAGTGTCAGTGCAGGAAAATATTTTCTGTATACTATACTTATATTACCCCTAACAACTGGGTTGTAAAAATCTACATAA